CTCCCGCATATGTTGTGCAAGGAGTTTCACTGAGATTTTATTGCCTATTCTTTTCTCTTTCCCTCCTTTGTGGATTCTGGTGTTCTTCGGCGCACTCAGTCGCACGACAGCAAGTAAAGTTATCAAGTGAAAGCAGGTGTGCTTCATGCTCCGTTGTTCCTCTCTGCACGCTGTGGCTCTGCTGCCTCTGCTGCTGTGTGCCTGCGGGTGCTTTGCGGTGGGCGCTGACCGCGGCGTGTTCGACACGATCGGGTCAGGGGGAAGTGACCAGCATCGTGTCTCCGTTGTGCGTACGGTGCCGATGAAGGGAGAAAGCGGGCACCAGGCGTACATCCTCTCCACAGGCTCTGCAGAGAGCGATGCCGGTTGGGGGGCGCTCCGCATTCACGTGTCTCACGAGGACCTGGACCTGAATGTTACAAATACTTCAACTCGGATCTGTTTGGAGGGCCGAACTAGAACCCGGGGCTTTTCAGTATATAATGTGCCGTATTTGTGCCCGGATCAGACAATCGTAACGGCAGAAAAGAGGAGGGTTCTTCTGGAGGTGATACTCCCCAAGGCAATCAAACTACACTCCGAGCGTCTTACCGTTAAGAATGTGGAGGGAAAGCTGAAGCTTGACGCTTTCGATGACCCGATCTGTAAGATGTTCACTGTTCCCAAGGATCACTTCAGTGAAGGTGTGACTAATGCGGACTTCGTGCTGTATGTGGCCGCCGCTCCGGGGCCTGTGGTGGCGAGAACGTGCTCCGTGGATAAGACAGGCGCGACAGGCCTAGCAAGAAGGCCCACAGCCGGTGCGCTGAACTTTGACCCGGAGCGCATCGTTGACACGCGGTACAGTGTGCGGATTGCAGCGCACGAAATTGCACACGCCCTCGGCTTCAATCGGGGAGTAATAAAGGCCGCAGAATTAACCTCAACATGCAAGGAAAGTGTGAATGGGCCAACAAAAACGGGCTGCTACTTGACTGCTCCAACAACAATGAATGCGATAAAGGAACACTACAACTGCAGCACAGAGCCACCTACTAACAGAACACTGCTGGAGGCGGATGGTGACGATGAGAGGAATCTGCACTGGCCGCGGCGCATTGCTAAAGACGAGTTGATGAGCCCGTACGTTGGTGCCACTGGCGGTGCGTTCTACACGGCACTGACGATGTCCGTATTCCACGATTTGGGCTATTACCGCGCTAGATTTGACATGGCGGAAAAGATGCGTTGGGGCAATCAGTCTGGCTGTGGGTTCCTCAATGAAAAATGTGTGAACAAAAGTCAATCTAAGTTTGGTGACATGTTTTGCACCGAGAGTGAAGAAAGTGGTAAACTTCTGCGGTGCACGTCGGACCGCTTTGCACTGGGGACTTGTTCGCTGACGACTCACACTACACATATCCCCAGCCAGTTCATGTACTTTGCCGACAGATCTCGCGGTGGCCCCAAAGCCCAGCGGATGGACTACTGCCCGATCATTACGCCGACCGCAGGCACCGTTTGCGAAAGTGGGGAAGTTGAACGGATGCCGGGGAGTTTCGTGGGGCCGATGTCACGGTGCCTGAGTGGAGAAAGCATTGTGTTGAACACCACTGATGGCGCCGGCACTCAGAAGATTGGGGGTCTCTGCGCAAAGGTGACGTGCAAGAGCCGCGGCGTTGTGAAGATCAGGTTCAATGGCAGCGATGTGTCATACATTTGTGATCCGAAGCACGGAAACCCGAAGATTGACCTGAAAGAGTTGCCTGCATTCAAGAGCGGTTATGTCTTCTGCCCGACCTACGAGGAGGTGTGCAGTGGCGCCGAGATTGAAGAGGACCGCCCGTCACTGACGCCGGAGTACGAATATTATACGGAGCCTTCAGAGTCTGAAGAGAAGCGTGAAAAGAACCCTAAAGGGAGATGGACGCTAGACATCGAAAAGTGGGCCGGCCGCCTCACCAGAGGCCGAGGCCATGGCGAAGCTCACTCTGGGAGCGCACCAGTCAAGAGTGCCACGAGAGCCATTGGGGGCAGCCACACAGCTGCAGACATTGAAACCATCACTCGGAGCGGGACGGCTTCTCCTAACACTCCCCAAAAGATGAGCGTGAACAGTCGAAACATCACATTGCCGGACGGCAGTGTCAACCCTTCGTGGGTGCGTGTTCCCCTGCTGCTTCTGATGGCTGTGGTTCCAGCATACATTGGGGCGTTCTAAGAAGTGAGCTAACACTTTTACCGAAGCAAGACCTCAGGCTTCAAACTTAACAACACAATAATCTCTTTCTTTTATTGCTTGCCCTTGTGTGGCTCCGCGACTGTGTGTGTGTACTTTGTGCACCCTGGCTCTTGTAGGAATGCGTGGCGGCTGCCCGTTGTTGGGCGTACATCATCTCCTTCTTTGTTTTGGGCTTCGGCCTCTTTTTCCACGGGGTTGTGTGCCACCCGTTGCTTAAACGTTGTTTGTTTATTGTTGCGGTGCTCTGTGGAGCACAGCGGTGGAGTGGTGCTGTGGCGGAGTGTGCAGTGCGGCGCCATTGGGCTGGCGGACGCGTGCGGCTCCACAGGAAGTGCACGACCCCGCACCACCGCATGTTCCGTGTCCTCAAGTATCCGTGCTTGTGTGTGTGTGGGGGGGGAATTCATTTGCTCCCGCAGCAGGATTAAGGATAAGCCTGTGAAGAAGTTTTCGCTGCTGCGGGGACGGCTCGTATGGTGAATTCACCCCCGTTGTTTTTGTTTTTTGGTTTGTATCTCCGCTGCGCCATCGCAGTGACGGGAGGGAGTACTGACGCCACTTGGGCTTTGTGGTGAGGTGCTTCTTCACGGTGAGAAGTGTTTTAATTCTTCTTTTGTTTCGGGTGTGTTGGGGGTTTGTTGTGAATATCTGAGAGGGGAAGAGTGTCGAGGAGTCTTGCTGCTGCTGTGCCTGCGGTGTGTGCACTGTTCCGCATCGTTGCCTCTCTCCTCTCTCTGCTGTTGTGTAGGCAGTGCTNAGGAGTCTTGCTGCTGCTGTGCCTGTGGTGTGTGCACTGTTCCGCATCGTTGCCTCTCTCCTCTCTCTGCTGCTGTGTAGGCAGTGCTGCTGCGCTCGTGGAAGTGACTGCGTGTCGCCGCCGCTGGCTGAGGGGCGCTGTGATGGTGCGGCTAGGGTGGGTGAGTGATGTTGAGCGGCGCAGCAGTGCAGGTGTCCCTGTGCGGCTGGGATGATGTGCAGCTGTGGTGTTTTCCCTCCATTTCACCGCCTTTGCTCTTGTTGCCTCCGGTGTGTTCGGCTGCGTCAAGTGCGGCCTGTGCACGTTGTGCGTCTGTGCGTGTGGCGTCTGGGAGTGACGTCTGTGTGTGTGGTGGTGCTGTTCGTGCAATTATGTTTCTGGCCTCACTGCTGTGTGCTGCATGGCTGCTGTGGTGTTGGCGTGGCATCTCCAGTAGGGTGTTCTCTTCTCCCGTGCCATGGCAATGCGTGATGCGAGAGCCACTCCGTTGCGTGGGCACACTGAGCTGCGGACCGACTCTGCCTGACTGACGGTGTTGTTGTGTGAGTGCGTGCTGCGTGGACGGTTTGCCCAGCGGCTGCATTTGGCCTGTGTGTGTCTGTTGCTGTCGGTGTGTGTGTGTGTGCGGTGTGACGTGTTGAGGTGACTGTTGTGCGTCCCCTCGTTGGATGGTTCGCGTGGGTGCACCTCACCTCTGTGCCGCTACTGATTTGTTGTGGGCCGAGTGCGTGCGTTGTCGCTGAGCAGCGGTGAGTGGAGTGGCGTCTCTATTCCTGCCGCTATTTTTGTGCGTGGTGAGTGTGTGGCCGCGCGTTGTGTGTGGAGTGGCGTGCGGCCGACGGGGCGTCACCCGAGAGAGTGTGGGTGAGTGCGGCGGTGTGGATGTGTGTGCGTGGTGGTGCTGTGGGCGAGGGCCACGGAGGTGCGGCGAGGCTTGCGGGG